TAGCTGGAATACTGCTGAGTGCGGCGTAAAACTAATCTCTCTCTCTCTCTCTCTCTCTCTCTCTCTCTCTCTCTCTCTCTGTGGTGTGTGTGTATTGCTTGTTCTGTGTGTTTGGGTATGTGTGTTTGTGTTTGTAACTCCATGTCACTTTGTGCATGCGTGCGTGCGTGTGCGTACGGGCATGAGTATGCGTGCGCACGCGTGGTTGAGCACAGGTGCGTGGGGGTTGTGTGTGTTTCATTCTGGGGTAGGGTGGGGAGTTTATCCGCGTGTGTTGGTTAATACGGCAGTATATATATTTGCACTTGCTGACGAACTCAATAACGGTATCAAAAGCATGACTAGGGAACAAAACTGTTGACTCGCCACATGTGGTGAGAATTCGTTTGAATCCCTTTTTCTTCTGAAGGTGTATTGTGGAATATTGTTTACAGCTGCATGTATTCATTCACCCAGTCACTCATTTACGTCACTCTACACTCTCTGAATTTAAAAATCTGAAGTTAAGTCTGAATTTCGGATCTCGTTTTTGTCAAATTATGCACAGCCATTAAAGCAATTTAGCAATACCTCGGCGGGGGACATCAGGAACGGGCTTCACACATGTGGGGAATGGAGTAAGTGAGTTCAGTTTTACGCCTTTAGCATTATTCCAGCAATATCACGACGGGGGACACCAGAAATGGGATTCACCCTTTGTACCCATGTGGGGAATCGAACCCGGGTCTTTAGCGTGACGGGCGAACGCCTTAACCACGACGCTACCCCACCGCACCTCTGACACTAAAGGCTTGGTTGTATAGGCCTAAACGATTGTCTGGTCCAGATTCGATTATTTACAGACCGCGGCCATTTAGCTGGACTATTGCTGAGTGCGGCGTAAAACTAAACTCTCCAGGCACACCAGACTGTAGCTGACCAAGTACTCACACATGTGTTCATGTGATAGATGTAGATAAAAATACATGTACACATCTGTACCAATTTGTTTTACCATACTTCAGTGCTTCTGTTTAACACGCAGTTGTTAGCTTGTATGATAATGTATATTATATTCTGACCTTACATTTTGTATAATATTATATGTTTGGGAGCGGTGTAAATATAGCTTGTTTACCAATCCTTATTCAGTTATTGAATAATGATACGTTTAAGTCACTTACTGAAGTTAAAAGAACTCCACGTTACCGCATGAATTCATCCGTCCACTCAAGTTTTGGGATGTGGAGGTTTGGGGATATAACCCTCATCCACCTGTTCAGATGCTCGTTCGCTCACTCACTCACTCTTAAAACATCTGTGTTTCATCTCATTCGTCCGGCCCCAATGTTATCAACTCACTCACTCACTCACTCACTCACTCACTCACTCACTCACTCACTCACTCACTCACTCACTCACTCACTCACTCACACTCACTCACTCACTCACTCACTCACTCACCCACCCACGCACGCACTCACTCACTCACTCACTCACTCACTCTTAAAACAAATATGTTTTCATCTCATTCGTCGGGCCCCAATGTCATTAACTCACTCATTCACTCACCGAACCATCCACTCACTCACTCAGGGCAATAACTAAGCAAAGATGGTGACTGCAACTTATCCATTTATACACTTCCCACTGTTGCACAACTATTCCAGGTCACAGTGACCGTGCGAAGGCAACGGGGACTATAATCAACTCAGGCGTGATTACAGGTGTACACCGATCAACTCGACACGCACGTCAACACTGCCTATAATAGTACGTCTTAGTATAATGCTTTAGTGTCTTGGGTCGTGAGATTCTTTGGGTCAGCGACTGAACCCTTGTTACATTGCATTCAAGGAGAAAACACCCACTGAAAAAGATTTTATCTTGAGTGTATGTTCGCGCCGTGAATGTGCGCTAAGTACGTGTACACTGTGTGTGTACGTGCGTGCTAGCGTGCGTGCGTGAGTGTGTGCGTGCTAGTGTGTGTGTGTGAGAGAGAGAAATAAAGAGAGAGTGAGTGAGTTTAGCTTTACGCCGCATTCAGCAATATTCAAGCTATCTGTAAATATTCGAGTATAATGGTATTCAGATCATAAACCTTTTTACGTCATCTAATGAGGTATCAAACCTCTTTTCGAACGGGGGCGTAGTGGTTAAAGCGTTCGCTCGTCACGCCGAAAACCCGGGCTCGATTCCCACATGGGTACAATGTGTGAAGCCCATTTCGGGTGTCCCCCGCCATGAGATTGCTGGAATATTGCTAAAAGCGGCGTAAAACCATACTCACTCACTCTTTTCGAAACGGGGACGGCGGGTCCTGTTCAGTAGTGTTCAGGATTTTTTGCTTGGGAAACAATGCAATGCTGATCTGATACGCGGCTTATTCTTAACAAGAGCGAAAATTAAAAAATAAAATAAAATTGAAAAAGTATAATATGTAGCCCTAAGATTTTACGCCGCTTTCAGTAATACTGCATCATCATGGCGGGTGACACCAAAAATGGGCTGCAAACATTGTTCATGTATCATGTTTGGAATCGAACCGGAGTGCTCGGCGTGGCAAGCGAACGTTCTAACCACTCGGCTACCCACCGTCGTATGTGAAGAAAAGTCTTTTCATGTACCAGTTGTGTACACTGACTCAAGAGTTCTCAGATTTGATGCCATGATATATTCAGAGGTGTGTTGGGATGCCTGGAGAGGGAGTAGGTGAACCGTCAGATATCTATGACAATGACCTTGAATATTAACTCGACATTTCATCACACTGGGTCTGATTAAAAACAGCTAGCAACACACGGTTGGTCGATATTTCGTTCATAAACATGAAATATGCACAAAATAAATAAATTTCGATTTAACAAAACAATCGATTTGTCTTGTGAAGGTCATTATACGGACACAAACACAACCTCAGGGCTCGGGTCCTCGGGCTTTCTTATCGAAAAAACATCACGCCATGAGTTGTAATTTATAATATATTAATACCCTGTTTAATGTATTTATCAATTTGGAGTCTCTGCTTAGGGCACTTTATCCTTGATTGAAACACATCTGTTACCCCAGTCTGTTGTTCAAACAGCGATCAGTTTCAACGAAGGGACTATTTCATTGTGAGCTATTTATTCCGATCTTAAACCAATATTTCTTTTAATGTACACATCCAGTTAACAATTTACTCGTAATGTATTAAAAATTTGCAGTCTCAGCTTAGGGCACCTTTTCTTGTTTAAAACACTCATGTTACCTCAGTTTGTTGTTTAAAACAGCGATCATTTTCAACGAAAGGAATTTTATTGTCAGCTGTTTATCCAATTTTGAACCAATATTTCTTTTATCCAATTTTGAACCAATATTTCTTTTAATGTACACATCCAATTAACAATTTACTCGTAATGTATTATAAATTTGCAGTCTCAGCTTAGGGCACCTTTTCTTGTTTAAAACACTCATGTTACCTCAGTTAAAACAGCCATAATTTTCAACAAAAGGACAATTTCACTGTCAGCTGTTTATCCCGATCTTGAACCAATATTTATTAAAATGTACACATCCAATTGATGAGACAATTGATTTATCTTTGGACACTGAAGTAACTGTTTTCAAATTTGTTGTAAATACCTTCATCGTGTTATGTTATATTTAGTGATTGAGGTTGAGTAGGATTTTTAGCCGCTTTTATTAATATTCCAGCAATATCACGTGTGTGTGCGTATGTGCGTGTCTGGGGGGGAAGGGGGGGCAACAAAAATGGGCTTCACACACAAGAGGCACTGTAGGGACTGGATCCCAGGTTTTCGGCGAGACGAGGAAATGCTTTAACCACTTGCCTACCCCACGGTCCCTTTTGTCAGAGGATGTGGAATTTGACAAATATCCATACCTCTATAATATATATCTGCCACCACGATACACCCGTAACGTTTTCAGGTTACACTCGTTTATATCCGTTTTAAACCCCCCAAAATAAACGTTTTCTATTCCCCAACAGCGAATATCCTGGGGACGACACGTTATTTGTGATGCTACATCAACGTAGAAAATACTTTCATCCAGAAAGATGATACTTACATGTAAACTATCCTTAAATTTACGTATAAGATGCTCCAATCTACTATTCTATTGATCTACTCAGGCGATGGTTTCATCTGGTACCGATTTGGTTGTTGACTGGTTTGTTGTTCAACGCCGCACTGAATATTCCAGCTATATGGCGGCGGTCTGTAAATAATCGAGACTGTACCAGACAACCCAGTGATCAACAACATAAGCATCGATCATGATCTACGCAATTGATCTTCAGCAACCCATGCTTGTCGTAATAGGCGACTAACAGGTTCGGGTGGTCAGGCTCGCTGACCTGGTTGACACATGTCAACGGTTCCCAATTGCGTAGAGCAATGCTCATGATCTGGATCGCTGGATTGTCTGGTCCAGACTGGATTATTTACAGACCGCCGCCATATAGTTGGAATATTGATAAGTGTGGCGTAAAACTAAAGTCACTCACTCAGTAACGATCTGCACGGATATGGAGATGATCGTATCTTCTACGAAGATCAATAAAGTAAATAGACTAGTTTTCTTACAATCGAAAAAGCCTATGTGACAAGTCGGGTACAGCAATTGTACATATATTTGCGGTTCATGAAAACATTTAATTAAATTTGTTAAAACTAAATTTGTTAAAATTATGGTATAGTGAATATTAACAACGAAATGTCGTTTATCTGGAGACACACTTGTTGTAACCATAGTGATTCACAAATGTTTGGATAAACGTGAGTAAATATAGACAGTATATAATTCCGGAGTGTATATGTTCCGGAATACAGGGTTTCCGGAGAAACGGGGTTTCACTGTAAACAGTGTATAAGCGAGTAGCCCACATGGGCACAATGTGTGAAGCCCATTTCTGGTGTTCCTCGCCGTGATGTTGCTGGAATATTGCTAAAAGCGGCGTAAAACCAAACTCAGTCAGTCAGTCAGTCAGTCAGTATAAGCGAGTAGGTACATACCTCGGGACCGCCACACCGCAAACCATTGTCGTTGTAATTCGCAGGGACGTTGTACCCTTCTCGCCACATACTTGAACGTTGAAGGGGTACCAAGAGATACCCATGGGGGGTAACGCTCCCCAACAGGCCGCACAGCAGCAGGCACGTCCTCAGCACCATGGTGGAGGCAGATCGTACACCCATTCTCACAATTTCCTTCCGTGTATAAACCTCGAGTTCAATAAACGAGGCTTTCTACATCCAATATGAATCATACACTAACTCAGTGTATATACACATCTTATTGACGTGACTTTCACAGTGTCGTATCGTTCAAGTATAATTTCAACTGGCCTGCATATGACGTCATGTCCAATAACTGACTGAGAAGTTGAATCCCTTATAAGCGTGATATACGTGAGTGGCTATGACTGGGTCTGACTGCGTTGGCTAAGGCCTGGTGACAAAGGCGGTAATTTGATACCGCTCCGATCGTTCTGCATTAAGAGAGAACCGGGAGGGGGAGTGTTGAGGGAGGAAGGGGCTGTTGATCTGGTATGCTAATCATCTTACCTGCCCAAAGTGGGAATAATAGAAGGGGGTTGAGGATGACAACAACACTGTACGTGAACTATTTATCCTTGGTCTAATTCTAGACAAAACGTGACGAATGTATTAGCAATTGATACGTGTAAGCGAGTAGGATATGGTTCGAAAAGTCGCCATTATTTTGCAAACCGGCAGGTTCGAGGCCGTTATCCATCTTAAAACAGTTTCATTCAAAATACGTGCTACAGTAGTGTCCATCCAATACGCATGTGCACAGGAACCACAGGTGTTTTAATTTTATTTATTTCAGTAGTCATTAGAATGTTTTTCAGTGTGATCACGTCCATTGAGTATTACATTCTCAAATAGAATGTATACAGTGTAGCCTCTCTTTTCTTAAAATGTGTTTTTCTGCGTTCGACTGTCAACGGATATACTCACCTGACATACACATGACTATCTGTTGCAGGACAATCAAAATGAGTGAGTGAGTGAGTGAGTCTCCATGATGAACTGGATTCCCTGGTGCTGGGCATTCAGGTGATTAAGTAGTTCTGTGGAGTCGTTCTGTGGGGCTATGGTGGGGAATGCGTGGTCAACTGTCCGGTACCAACAGAGGGGTTTGAATGGTGCTGTAGAGAAGGCTGAGAATCAGTTCACCACTGAGACAGAAACAAACCAACATATCCCTTCCTAGATGTGTATCTCCAATCCACAGAAAATAGAGTAAGAACTATTTAACATAAACTTTCACGTACAGACACGTACATCTATTACAACTCCTGTCACCATCCCCAGATAAAACCGGCCATCCTCGCCCGACGTGCAAAAGCGAGTTGCCATCCTGATCCTCACTGCATCAAACCGAACCATCTGAAGGACACCTTTATCTCACTCAATGGTTACTCTGTCTTAAAAACCATCAACAAGATCCTCAACACCTCCACGCCGAAGCCCGATTACATTCCCTATCTAGGTCCTGTCAGCCGTAAGATTTCCCCTTCTCGAGAAAAATAAAGCCAACCAAGTTGTCATCTTCTGCAGTAACACCATAGAGAACCTCCTGCAGGCCAATGGCGGGAGCACCAGCAGCTGGAGCTCCAACCCCAGTGAATACCAGATACTCTGCAATTGTGGCAACCCTCAGACCCCTCAACACTAGACTCACCCCTCAACACCAGACTCAAAGAACACCAAACATCTGTCAACTAACTCGACCACAAATCCGCCATTTCCGAACAAGAACCAGGACCATGCCATCATGTGGGAAGCCACTAAAGGCCTGTCCGCCACCAACAACAACTGGCGTCAAACACTGACTGACTGACTGACTCAGTTTGGTTTTACGCCACTTTTAGCAATATTCCAGCAACATCACGGCGGGGGGACACCAGAAATGGGCTTCACACATTGTGCCCATGTGGGGGGATTCGAACCCGGGTCTTCGGCGTGACGAGCGAACGCTTTAACCACTAGTCTCCCCCACCGCCCCGCTATAGACATCAATAGATCCCAACCAGCAATCAACCGTGCCTAACTGTTGGGACCTGTTAATTTAATCATCACTGCTGGCTTCCTTATCCTTGTACTTATCACTAAGTAGGCCTGGATTAATTATTGTCTTACATTTGATTATTGTCATTTCCTTTGTTGAATACCCTTGTTATCGCCCCAAAGATCCGGGTTTGTTTCCCAACATGGGTACGATAGTTAAAGCCAAGTTCCTGTGATAAGAGCAAACCCTGAAGTAATGCAGGTCTTCGGTGAAACTCGACATGGTGCTGACAAACCCACAACAATGCATCAGATATTTTGTTTGTTGTTTAACGCCAAACTCAGCAGTCTTCCAGCCATAGTATATTGACGAGTCTAGACCAGACAATCCAGTGATTAACATCATGAGTGTCGAGTACGATGACATGTGCCAGCTAAGTCAGCTAACCTATCCCGTCAGGAGTCACTTACATTGAGGGGCGGTGGGGTAGTCTAGTGGTTAAGCGTTCGCTCGTCACGCCGAAGTCCCGGGTTCGATTCCCCACATGGGTACAATGTGTGAAGCCCATTTCTGGTGTCCTCCGCTGTGATATTGCTGGAATATTGCTAAAAGCGGCGTAAAACTTAACTCACTCACTTACATTGACCTTCACATGTAGAGATGTGGAAGGCATTTCCAAATTTGACTCTAAATGATGCCCGATGTTTTTCCCTATGAATCAAATATCCTCCTGTTTTGTTCTGATTTCTCTGCAATGGGTGGCTCCGATTGGACAGGCACGTTTTCATGAACACCTTGTATCATTATTATATGATAAAATTTGAATTAAAAATGGACAACACATTAGCACATTGACATTGTAAGAAGGAGCCAACCTTGCTACAGTTGACCAATGGTCACTAACTGACTGAATGTGTTAAGGTGCGTTCTCACGGTGCAACTTGTAACATGCAACACAGTTGCAACATCACAACACCCAAACAGAAACTGCAGCCGAGTTGTAAGACATAGGACTGCTCCAAGTCGCACGTTCTCGACCAATCAAATCTGTGTCCACCTCATTGTGACGTTGTTTTGTTTGTTGTTATATCATGTCGGAGACACAAATGAAAAACAGATGATCTTGCTAGAAAAGAAACTGAACGGTATTTCTTCTGCGAACACACACTAAGTTAGGCTTTCTTTTCTTCTCTTTATAGTGACTGCGATAAGTACAGTAAGACATACACGCCAGCATCACTTGTCGAATCTATCTTGTCGAGTCATGCGTGAGAATTTCTCGACATATACGTATGCGACCTAATTTAAAATCTACACAGATACCAAAGTCGTTACGATCATTATTGTTACTACAAAGCGTATGCTAGAGTTTGTTACGGCAGAGTCGGACAGACTGCACCTTTAGCAGTTTCTGATAGGGTTAGTTAATCGGCTTTGGGGTATTTCGGAGCCTTGCGCTTTATGACGTTGACATGTCTTTGCCTTCATGATTAAGAGAGTGCGTGTGCGTGTGCGTGTGCGTGTGCGTGTGCGTGTGCGTGTGCGTACAAGTGCCAGTTTTATAGTGCCAAACCACTCAGAGTCTGTGTCTCAGTATCCATGTAAAATAAAAAATGGCATTTCAGTGAGCTAACACAATGAAACATAAGACAATCACACTCACTCACTCATGAAAGCAAACAAATGCTTGTCTCTATTTTAGTGCAACATTAAACACCATTCACATCACCTCAAAGCACCTGTGTATCTTTCTACTCGTGGGACAGTGGGGTAGCCTAGTGGTTAAAGCTTTCGCTCCTCACATCGAAGACTCGGGTTCAATTCCCCTACAGGGAACAATGTGTGAACCCCATTTCTGGAGTCCCCCGCTGTGATATTGCTGGAATATTGCTAAAACGGCGTAAAACTATACTTACTTACTCACTCACTGTCCACGTATGAATTCAAAAGAACTTGTTTTGGAATCTCAGAACTTCGGACATTGGGATCCTCCATCGTGTCGACTTGTTATTATATCTCCCTGGAGACGAAGCAGATGTGCTACACATTTAGAATATTAGTTGTCAGGCAAACTCTCATAAGTATGCCTCCGTAGTCATGCGACATCCGTGCTACGCAGTTTGTCACCTGAATCCGCGACACCTGTGTCAACCGTCCCCAGTAGATTTACAGAGGTTAGATGAGATGTATATTCCTGAAGTTTCAGGTAGATCTATATGTGCCAATAAACATATATAAACTTTATAGTGTACCAAGCGGAGCATTTGGAGAAACATGAAAAACAGGCTAGCTAGAAGGAAAATACATATCAGTGGGTTTTCTAGATGGATGGATGGATGGGCTTGGAGGATGGATGGATATATAGATGGATGGATGGAGGGAGAGTGGGTGTGTGGGTGGTTGATGGATGGGTGGGTGGGTAGGTGGACGGACGGGCGTCGGACGGATGGATACAGACTGACTGACTGAGTTTGGATTTACGCCGCTTTTAGCAATATTCCAGCAACATCACGGCGGGGACACCAGAAATGGGCTTCACACATTGTACCCATGTGGGGATTAGAACCCGGGTCTTCGGCGTGACGAGCCAACGCTTTAACCATTTGGCTACCCCACCGCCCCACATACATGGATACAGACGCTATTAAGTTATTACTTTTAAATTATGTAGACACAAACTCGAATTTGCTAAGAGCATGATCCTTCGTTCGTACGAAGATGATTTGAGAGAGGTATGATTCCACGCTGACAGATGACTTGACAATAGAGAAACCGAACAGCTTAGAATTTGGGGAGATATGGGAATATCATCTCTGTAATTCACATAGAAATAGAACACTGAAACAATTTGAAGATTGGGCAAATTTTACAATTCTGCATTAAACCAGAAGCGTATTTCTAGAGATTTTCGCTCACCTGAACACCTTATCAGTGTAATGATAATGGTAATGAATTTATATAGCGCCTGTTTCCAGAAAGTATTTACTCAACGGTGCTAAAGAAGAAAGTCTGAAAGACTGAGAGGAATATTGTGAACAGATGGGTTCTTAGGGCTTTTCTAATAAATGTTTTGTTTGTGCGTATATTACAAATATACGAGTATGTTTAAGGTTTCAGAAAACAGTTCGTTTCAGAGCAATATATTTGGTGTTCTATAACAAAGATGTTTGTTGTTGAGAACTAATATATTGCAAGTCTTGGAATAAATGTTTGGGATATTTTACCACAGTTCTACAGTACATTTAGTACAAACACTCATCGATGAGGGGCGGTGGGGTAGCCTAGTGGTTAAAGCGAGCGCTCTTCACGCCGAACACCCGGGTTCGATTCG